TTCTTACGTTTCTACTTGTACGTAGAAGTGACGCGTATCTAGTTGTTGTTGTCCTTACTATATACTAACTATTATTACTCTCTCTCTCTCTCTCTCTCTTCTCTCTCTCTCTCTCTCTCTCTCTATACCCTGCATTCCAGAGACAGATCATCAAGATGCACCTTTATCATCTCTTCGTGAAATCCTTACTCACGCAAAGGTTTTCTCTCTCTCTCGCCCCCCCTTGTATATATAGATGTAAATGTATGTGTATGTATATATCTGGTTATGGACATGTATATTGCCCGTATACATACACACACACACACACACACACACACACATATATGTATGCATGTATTTATGATTTGTTTGTTGCTTGTATTACGCATGTAACATGTATAGTATGGAAAATTTTCCCTATTGAATATAAGGATAACCATGTTTTCACATGAGTTTCTTGAACCTTTTACATGTTTTGAAGGTCAAGGAGGCCTTAGAAATTTTTCCAACAATTGAAACGAGGCTGAAGAAACTTTGCGACTTAAATTTGGGGGCACAAATCCAAAATTAATTGGTGTCCTGGGATATCTATACACCAGTTACCTTTCTTCCAAGGGAAAAGGTTACATAGAGCAGAGGCTCTAAACAATCAAATTAGAGCCTATCTAAAATTTCCCTAGAAGAGATTGGTTTGATGCCCAAATATCGTCAAATTGAACATTTCGACATCAAGATGCATGGACATGAGAAAAAAATGGATTTCAAGTTTCGGAAATAGTGTATTTTGTAATGTATTTTTAGATCGTCAATTTTCAAGATTTTCAAGTTTTCATAGATATGTCGATGTACACTATTTTTGAAGCTTTAAACTTTATAAATAAAGATGAAAATATATTTTAAGGCTATCACAAAGATTTTCAGTGTTGAAACCACATTTCTCGGCACTATTTGAAGGTAGGCTCTAATTTGATTGTTTAGAGCCTAGGCTCTATACAAACCGCACCCTTCTTCAAATTGTAGGGTTGTTTACATCTATAAATATATTTTATTGGCGAATGGTACTGTATATAGTGGATCTATTAATTTCTTAGGAATGCGTTTGTCCGTCATTACCAAGTGTTAAAAGCCTTTAATTTTCTTTGATTTAACCACAACACATCTCTTTGTCCTCGTATGGTAAAGTTTCTTTACTACGTATCACTGGAAAATTTTGTCTAGAAAGACTTTGAGGTGAAATAAAATACATTTTTTGCGAAAGATAATTCTTGTAAAATGTATTTTTTCTATTTACATAGTATCTGGATGCAACCTTGAAGATGCATTTCTACCATGAAAAGTGGTTAGATGTAATGAGCCTCAAGAGAGAAAAATATGGTAGAGATAACGATAAGAAAATGTGTAGAGCAAGAAGGCAGTATAAGAGATAATGATGAGAACTAGAGAAATAAATGGGAAACAAAGATATAAGGGTTTTGGAAAATAAGGAGAGGGAGAGAGAGAGAGATGGATTAGCAAGGGGAGAGGGGGAGAGAGGGGGGCGGGTGAAGGAGAGAGATGAGAAGATATTGCTTTTTTTTGTACAGGCCCTAACTTGCTATAGCTTGTTTTAAATTTTTTTTTTCAACTTTGTAGGAAAATTAGACAGGGAAATTAATATTTTAGCTTGTAGGGAAAAAAAAATAATTTCTCTGTTTTGGGCTCAAGCCAAAGAAACATTTGCGTCCTAGATTATGGATTGAGACAACAGAAATGAGCAATCTCCCTGGAAAACTATTTCTAGAAATATTTTTCCAAAGATCGAAACGGTCCCTTAGTATTGTAGAATTTTTTTTTTTTTTAATGCATCATATCTTAGACTTGTATTATTAATATGAGCTAGTAAATCGTTTACAATTGATCTGTAAATTATAAATGTGGATGATTTTTTCAATAATGAATTGGAGCTTTATTACCAATGACTACCTGTGATTTAAAACTCGGCTGAGTCGACTCAGATTCAGCCTAGTAAACTTGCATCGGCACCTTGCCAAGGAGAGCTTTGAATATACAAGAAAATCGTAAAAATTATATTTTTGAATAAATCACTAATAAATTATCTATAAATATGGTTATATATAATTTTGAAGTTTTTGATGACGATTTGTGAAATTTTCTTATTATGTGCTCTATTTTTCTAGTTTCCTTTTTTTTATTTGCTTTTGAATTATTTCAAGTTATATATCAATGTTTCCATATTCCATTTTCTGTGTACTTTTTTCACCATACATACACTAAAAGATGCACACATGCAATCAATTATTTTTTACTGGTCTTTAATTATTTTTTAAGAACTGTTTTTTTTTTTGTTTTTTTGGGGGGGGGTGGCAAAATTTGAGCCCCTTTTTGGGCTTGTGCAAGACTTTGGGGAGTCCACTTGGAATTACTAGGGTTGCTCTTCACCAGAAGAGGCCGAATCCCAAGCTCGAGCCAAGTTTTTCAACATTGATGACTACAAAGAGTTTCGGGTTAGTGATAATTTCATGTACTTTTTGGAGGTCATTCAAGTGTTGCTCATTTTGTTTGCACCATCTTGTACGCTAGCAAGACAATCTGCATAGTAGAGAAGGAAAAAATACATTAATTCTTGTGTGTGGCATAAGACCAATGGACAAGATACGTAACTTAAAATTTTCTATTTTATTGAAACATAATGCTTCTAACTACATAAAAATTTCATATGGGGTTATGAAATTATAGACTCTAGCCCTCAATTTAGACTTATACACATCTTGGATTATTTAAAAATCCAACTCTAATAGGTCCCTTACAAATTCCTTGCTAAAAAATACAATTAAATTCAAAACAATATGCAAATACTCACAATGTACATCTAGACGACATATTACATGACTTAAACTTGAAATTTCTCATTATAATTAAAATTACGTGATAACTCCATCTTCATTGTTCATCCTCATCATATATCACAATATCTCATACACATCATACACTTGATCATAATTATCCAATAAGATTTCAATTCACATAAACAATAGAGCATAGCATTAAACCTCATACCACATGATTAAAGGCACAATTCTATTTTTCACTTAACATATACAATTTCTTCAACCATGAATCATTTAATAGCTGTAAATACAGTAAATAAACATGCATACAAACATGTGGGAAGCCATAGTTCGAACCCCTTGTGCCCGGGCCACAAATTCGAGCCTTTTAGAGACTTAATTTTGTCCTAATGAATAGTGCAAGAGTGGTTTATAATATCAAGGGTGTTTAATCCAATTAGGAAGCTCATGCACTTTTAAAACCACTTCTTAGAGTCCACAAAATCGATTTAAAACAGTTTGCGAGAAGAATTGAGCAAATTGGATCAATATGGAGCAAGATAGAGCAAAACTACTTGTGGTGGTCCACCGATCCACCACAACAACTTTTCATGCAAAATTTCCAAGTCTAAATGACCAAATACACTTCTAAGAGGATCGAAATATTGCTGGAATTTGAATAACAAGACTTAGAAATGCTCAAGAGAATTCCTATAAGGTAGATCAAAGGAAACAATGCATGATCAAAGGTTCATCAATGCATGAAACACATAAGCAAGTGAGGGATCACACTATGTAACAATGACATGAAGATAATATTAAAATGGAGGTCTAAAAAAGATAAAAGATGACGGTAAATGAAATTTTCAAGAACTTTTAATCAAGGATTAAATGATCTTTGACATAAAACAACTTAGAGAGATAATACCTTCATCATGGTATGAGATAAGCTTGATCTTATAGAGTGAAGGGCCACCATCAAGCTTCAAAAATCATCAATTGAGGATGAGAACTCTCAAAGGGAAATGGGTAGTACATGGAGGTCTCAAAGTTTGATCTCTGTCTTTCTCTCTCTACTCAATTCAAGCAAGATCCATTTTTTCAAGTAGGTAGGGTTTGGGACTTAAAGGAGTATATATACATAGTGTGTTAGTTTAGATATCATCAATTCCCTTGATGCACCTATTCAAAGGCACGTGATAGGCCAATATACCCTAGCCACTCATCCCCATCCATACACGAGGATGAAGGGATAGTATTTAGCACCCTTATCATCCACATTAAACCCTTAGTAAGGCCACTTTAGTTCATATTTTTATTCCAAGTGAATCCAACTTGCCCTTACACAAAAGCTCTTAATTTTAAATAATCAAATATTGTAGAGATCTATCAATGGCAATGAGCAATAAAGTAAAAGGTAAAACTCACACATGTGAAAGGACATTACTTTATGAGAACCAATCATCTTATAGATCTCATCTAATATTTCAAACCAACCATAATGAGCTTAATGTCCCCTTCACATGTGTGTGAAGATATTTTGAAATTCAAATTCAAATTTTGATTTACTTTGAATTCAATATTTAAATTAAATTAAAATGGACATCACACATGCCAACAAAGGCACTTGTGTGAATCAAATAAAGATGTGACAAAAATCTACCTTAAGTTATATCATAATATAACAAATTAAATAACAATATATAACAACATAACAAAAAAATATATGCCATCCACATCCCCCACCTTGGGATTAACACCCAACTGAGCGTTGATATTATGGTGGGACTAGGGGTGCCACGTGGCCACCTTATGACCACTTGGGTGTGTCATGTGGCAGTCTTCAAATGGAATTAAGTTCAAACAAATATTAAAAGTACATTTATGGCTGATCTAATGAGCCTATGCTCTACAGTTTATGGCATGGACACATAATTGGTCACATCAAAGTTACTAAGCCAGAGCTTCCCATCATCTGGCTCTCAATGGACCCTTATGGGACATATTCCAACCCAAGTGTAGGGCTCCTCTTAAAGCACATGTGCATTGGCTTTTCGAAACTCAGATTGTAGATATGGAAGAGTGGCTTCCCCATGCGAACGTTAGTGCACATCTCATGGAAGGGTTTCGTGTCAGGAGATGGACTTGTATCCCATAAGTCATGATTATTCCATACTGGACCGTTGCTCATAAAAATACTTGGGTTCTATTGTACTCGATTGGATAGTCCAAGCCTTGGCTAATCACAACAATTATGAGGCTACTATAAACAAGATCCTGACTAGGAGGTGACCCTCACACCTCCTTGAGAAATTGCTTTCTCGATCTCATAGCCTCAAGTTCTTGGGATATAAGAATCTGAGCCTCATTTCTCAAAGCACCCAGATTCTATCTCTCAATCACTCCCACTGAATGAGATACTTCTGGAATTTCGGCATTGAAAGGCCATATTTCCGACAATTCTTTGGAAATTTGTTGATTTTACCAATAATGAACTGAGTGCCATTTTCTAAATGAGAATTCTTATTGTTCTTTCAGGTTACTTACAAATATAAATGTATCGTTCGAGTTATAGCAATAGACCCAAGGCATGCTGCAGATTTCTTTTCTAAGTCATCTCGGTCTCCCGTGTATGCTATTAGGATGACCTTGGAGGACCCAACTGCACGAATCCATGCTAATTTATTTGCAGAGGATGGGGTAGGACACCCTTTCTTACCATATCTTTTTCTCATTGGGAAGTATACTATGATCTAGTGGAATATGGAAGTCCATTGTCCATTGGAGTCATAACCATCTGATGAAATGATGGATGGTGATGGAGAGGGTGGGACCCAGAGAAGTGTATGATCCAATTGGTGCATCCTATCCTCTGCTGCCTGTTATTTCATCGGACGGTGATAAACCCTGTGGACTATGAACGACCTTAGTCCTTTTGGATTGCAGTAGACTTCCTTCTCTCGCATCTTATAGTTTTTATTCAGATTATAGGTAAGTTGTTTTCTTTGTCAATGGGAATATACCGCACCTTCATCTTGAGCTTGATGCACTTGCTTCTTTTATTGCAATAGACTTATGTTTTTTCACGAAGTTATTAAAATGTCATATGATCTGGTTCTTCTTCTCAGACAAAGCGATAATTTTTGTTTTTTTTCTTGAAATTTATGAATTTAAAGTGGAATATGGTGATTAGGTAGTGGAGCCTGTTTGAACGAAAACTAATTTTTTCTTTTTTCTAGGTAGCTTGTGTTTTGGAGGGACCCTATGGTAGGATCTGATCCTGGGTAAAACTGAGGACCATATCGAGTGCACTAACCATGTAGACCTCTACTTGATTGATGTGTTCGGAAGAAAACTGGGGATATGGTTTATAATTTTATACACAATCTGACATTTCCGAAGTTATTCAGGCTAGGCAGCTTTGACAATTTTATCTGTTGGAGAAATACTAGGGCTATGCTCTGTACAAGTTATCTGGAAATTTTCATTGCAGATTGGCTGGCCAGAATGTTCTATGCTTCTGCGGGAGCATTTTCTCCATTCACTCTTTCAGGCGCCCAATCTGCGAGTAGTTTTAGCCCCAATTTATGGGGATGCAATCTCTTCAGCTTAGTGATCAACCTCCTTAGTGGCTTTTTCTGGGGAGTAAAATGCATAGTATTCTCCTATCGTTAGGAAAGGACCTAGTCACCTATATAGATAACCACAGGCTTTTGGAAGATGAATGATCACTGGCCTTTGGACTATGAATGATCACTGAGACTCCAGTGAAGGTAGTTACTGTTCTTTCTTGAAAAATATGGGTGACCACAAACAGCTTTGAAAGATCTGTATTGTGTTAATCATTGTCTTTTTATCTTTTTCTAGGCTAGATGAGTTTCATTTGGTCACTTTTTTCAAATTTCCCTGTATCTTCATCGGATTATGATGATTTATATTCGATGCCATGGAGAAGTACTCAGAACATAAATAAATAAATCATAGGAGAAAGAAGATTAATACTACTAAAAAGATAATAACTGATTATTCATGGTTGGCTTCTTAAATTGTTGTCGTTTACTCGGAACATAAATAAATAAATCATAGGAGAAAGTAGATTAACACTACTAAAAAGATAATAATCGATTATTCAGCTTCTTAAATTATTTCCGTTCACTTATTCTTTTTGAGAAATTTTTTTTCAAAGAACCATCCACCAAATGATATACTACTAACCAAAATTAAAATGGTACTGTATTAAACCACAGCTAAAGAAATGGCAAAGGTCTTAAATAGTTCATTTCTTATGTACTCTTTGATAAATTATGTAAATTAAAATTTTCTTCCAATATTTATAAATAAATCATCGAAAAGAAAATAAGAGCAGCCATAAGTCATGAATGGTATGTGAAAATGTTTTGCTAATTGTTTTTGTTTTTACAGGAGAAGTTTTTTGGAGGCTATCCACCTACTGATGAACTGCAGGCCAAAGTGAACAAGCTCCTTGGAGTCACTGAAGACTCTAAGGAATTAGGAGTCCAACGGTCAGTCAAAGATCATCTCGGTGACCAGAAGTCAAATAGCCTGAGAGGTCCTCTATGGGTAGAATGTTGTATAAAATCATACTACTTGGATAAGAGTAATCCATGGGAAACTAGGCAGTATCGGATATTTGGAACTCGAATGGGGGCCTAGTTTTTCTTTCAAAATTTTGTTCAATTCATGCACATAGTGAAATTTGTGAAGAGATCCGTGTCACAATGCAGACATAGTTATTTTAATTTGGATACGTAATGTCGATGTTGATCATTGTATGATGAATATTACAGAGGGGGTTTGCGTCAACCAAGACACTCCTTCAAATATCCTTCTCAGAGATGGATTTTGGACCCTGATAATCTTGACCACCTTGTTCATGAGCTTGAAAAAGAATGGATGTTGAACCATAAAACCAGACATCTTAAATTTTGTTTTTTGATTGGTCATAATTTTTTAGCAGATATCTGCACTATGTTGTGAGCTGCATAATCATAGTCTAAAGCATAAGTGCATCTAGTTCAATCCCAATTGACAGCGAGAATTTCAGATTTTCATGAAAAGCTCATAGGGGCAAAGAAGCCTATCTGAACAAAGTAGCAAACAGACCAATCAATCGATGTCTCTACAGTCCATTCAGTCTTAGATGGCCAGCTTAAGGATGGGGCGAAGGTTTTGTCTATGAATGATCGATCCGATCCAATCGACATCTAAAAGGTCCAACTCCTAGATTGGTAGCCTTTTTGCTTAGGAGTCAAACAAATGGTTGGCAAAGCGAACAAGAAATTTTCATAGGATACCAATAATTGAAAATTAATATTTATAAGGGTGCCGTTTGTATAGAGCCGAGGCTCTAAACAATCAAAATAAAGCTTACCTTCAAATGATGTTGAGAAATGTGGTTTCAATATTGAAAATCTTTGTAATAGCCTTAAAACATATTTTTATTTTTAATTATAAAATTTAAAGCTTCAAAAATAATGTAGATCGAGTAGATCTATAAAAATCTTGAAAATGACGGTCCAAAAAAACTTACAAGATGTATTATTTCTCAAATTGAAATCCATTTTTATTTTTTCATGTGCATGCATCTTGATGTTGAGATGATCAATTTGAACATTAAAACAACCTCTTGTACTGCAATTTTTGAGTTGCATTCTAATTTGATCGTTTAGATCCTCAGCTCTACATAAACCTTTTCCTATTTGTAGAGACTAAGAGACTATTTATCCTTTATAATATAAGTCAAAGAGAATTTTTGCGGTCCCCATTTCACCGAAGCCTACTGTGATGGGATTTACAGGCTTGGAAGCCATGACCAATTTTATCAATTTTCAAGCATAGAACCGCTTCGGCTCACCCAAAGCCTTAATTCATGAAGCTCATAACTTTCCTGGTGTTCCAAAAATTAGAACTGGTTTTTTCCAATTCCTCAAAAAACATGGAAGAAACACTACCAGGTCAACTCTCTAGCTCACCAAGGTGCTCCTGGAGAGACTTTTTAACTTCCCAAGAGCATGTTTGTATCCAGGTACAAAGCCCATCTTTAATTCAAGGATTCCAGTTGAGGCTGATCTATGGAGGCAGCAAAATAGTAGTTGTTCCCCTTGAATACCCCAGAAATTACAGCATCCCATTTCATTTACAGCGAGATAGAGAAGGGTTTGAAAATGCCAGAGTCTTAACGCCAATGACTGAAAACTTGGCCGGAGTCTCTGCTCCGACCGAGTATATATCCATCTACGTACTATATACTATATACTATAGTATACTACATTCCGAGTATATATCTATCTATGTACTATATACTATATACTATAGTGTACTACATTATAAGCTAGAGTTGAGCTAAATTGAAGGGTGGGCACATTTTGCAAAAATAAGCAGAAACCTAATTCTATAGAGGTTGTAAGAAACATTCATGACTGAAAACTTGGCTGGATATAGTCTAAATTACAAAGCCCGAGCGACAGAGTTGAAGGCTGGACACACTGGGCCCTAATTTTATAGAAGTCGTAGAAGATATGGGCATTGGGAAGACATCCACGTATTAATTTTAGGGAAGAGAGAGTGAGTACACATCCAAGCACTAATTTTGCCATACGGATATTTTAGGATAGAGATAGTTAGATTCATGGCAAGAGATTTTAAAGAAAGAGTGATATAAATTATGGGTCAAAAAAATTATCTAGAACATAGGATAGAGATAGTTAGATTCATGGCAAGAGATTTTAAGGAAAGAGTGACATACATTATGGGTTAAGAAAATTATCTAGAAGATTTAGTTGGTTATGAAAAACATTAAAAGAGAGATAGTAGGGGATAGAGAGAGAAAAAATCAAAGAGATAGATAGACTTAAGGGAGAGAGAGGTACGTGTGAGGGTAAGAGTATGTGCCTATTTTAATATTGAAGATAATATTTAAGAGAGAGAAATATGCTTATATACTATATTTAGGCGAAGAGAGAGGGGTGGAGAGATGCAAGACTACAAGAGATTGAGAGTACGTGGAGTGGAATTGAGAGAGAGAATCAAGGGGACATATGGCTTTCCATCTTCAAGGGAAGAGAGAAACTCAAGGCCTTAATCCCTATCTTTAAGGGACATCTTCAAGGGAAGAGAGAAACTCAGGGTGTTAATCCCTATTTTAATGGAGAGGGAGAAATAGAGATAACATTGAAAGAGAGAGAGTACATGTGGTGAGAGAAAAACTCGGGTGTTTATCCCTATCTTTAGGGGAGAGGTAGAAATAGGGAGGATATTGGAAGAGAGAGTACTTGGGAGAGAGAGAAAAATGGAAAGAAAAATAAGGAGATAAATTTAATGGAGAGAGAGGTAGAAAACCAAGGAGAGAGATCATTGAAAATTTGTTTAGGTATTCCTTATTGTTTTAGATAAAGATGATATCTAGCTTTATTTAATATATATAATTAAACTAATAGTATTACTTGCGTTGCAGGAATTATTAAATTGTTATGCATATAATATTTTTTAATTATATTTTATAAAAAAAATATATTTACAAAATCTAAAATGAAAACATAGAATAAAATAAAAATGAAACTAAATTTCATAATAAAATAAAAATACTAGTTCTCACATGTAGGGAAAAAACCAAAAACAGATGAAATATTTTTCATGGTGAAAGGGTCAAAGAGAGATAAAATACTTTTCATAAACAAACACCAATGATTGAAATAGGGAAAACACTACAAAATGTCTATAGGTGAAGTTTTATATTACTTCATCTACGGCTTTATCACCATTCAAAGTTTATCACATGGTCACATATGTCTGATAATGTTTGAATTTTAATATTTTATTTACAAAACATAATGATATGAAATTTTGTAGGTGTGTGTACGTTATTGAGATGCGCATGAATAAAATATAAAACAAATAATTTGAATAATAAAAATTATAAAAAATACCCCTATAAAGTTTCAAGAGTAATTTTATTATTTTATTTTATGTGTATTATTTTTAAATATTTTATTATGAATACTGCTGGACAATTGTAACTATGTGATGGACTTTGGATGTTGATGAGATGTAGGTAAAGTACGGTAGAACTTCACTTACAGGTGTTTTGTAGATGCTTCATTTTCTTATATATTCATGATGACCACAAGTTGCAATAAGAGAGCCTATGGGCGTTTTATAGATGCTTCATTTTCTTATATATTCATGATGACCACAAGTTGCAATGAGAGAGAAGAAGAGAAAGACAACGTTAAAAGAAGAGAAAGAGAGAATAAATGAGAGGAGAGCGTTCATTGAGAGAGGAAGAAAGAGAAATAGAGAGTAAATATTTAGAGAGTTTTATAGATGTAATGTATAGATAACTAATAAATACTACATTGAACAATAAGGAGTTACCATGAGAAATGGGGGAAGAGAGACAATGAAATATTGAGAGAGACTTTTAAGGAGAGAGATAGAGACATTTCTAGAATAACATCCACAAATAAGGAGTTATCATGAGAAACCTTTTAGAAAGAGGAGAGAGAGAATGGGGGACATGGAATGAATATTGAGAGAGTTTTTAGAAGAGCGACTTTTTAGAAAAGAAAGAGAGACTTGAGGAAAGATTGAGATTTTAAATGAAAATATTAATAAATATGAAGGAGAGAGAAATATGGAAGAGAGACATTTGAGAAAACATGATATAGATGTTAAATGAGAATGTTGATAAATACGAGGGAGAGTGATTTTAAGAAAGAGGGAGGTAGAGACTTGGGAAAACAGTAGAGAGGGAGAGAGCGAGAGATTGTAGGAAAGTATGAAGAACATGTGGCGCAAGAATAGAGAAATAAAACAAATACAGAGAGGATCGGATATAGAAAAAGGAGGTTAGGGAGAGAAAAAGAGGTTGTATGAGAGATTTTAGGATATATAAAGAGGTTAGGGAGAGAGAAAGAGGCTGTATGAGAGAGTTTAGGATATATAAAGAGGTTAGGGGGAGAGAAAGAGGTTGTATGAGAGATTTTAGGATATATGAAAAAAGTATGGAGCAAAAAATATCTATGATATGTTTTAGGATAAGAGAGAAGAAGATAAAAATATGTTTTAGGATAAGAGAGAAGAAGATAAAAATATGTTTTAGGATAAGAGAGAAGAAGATGAGAAAAATAGTGAGAGATTGTAGGATTAGATGAGTAAAATATGGAGCAAGAAATATATAGAATAAATTTTAGGATAAGTAAGAGAGAAAAAGATGAGAAAGAAATCGAGTAACATGATGGAGAGAAATAGCTTGGAGAAAATATTTATATACATAAAATGGTTAAATAAACAATCACTCAATTCTTATAAGAGACCACAAAAAACCAAAATTTACAAATCACATATATAACTAAAAATTTACAAATCACATATATAACTAACCAATATAGTAATAAAGAAAGCCTTAATCTATATATTATTGATATAACCAAACAATATAATAATACATTCAAAGAAGATTGATATAACCAAATAATGTAGTAATAC